TAAACTAAGGGTTTATACCATGCATGCAAATGCGCTTTATTAAGATTTATTTTGTGTATATAAAATATGAATACATGCCGTTAATCATGCATGAGAGACTTCCGAATGATTTTTGTAAACAGCTATATAGGCAGGAAAAACAAATTCAACCGTTTATTTGGAAAGGAGAAGTTATACATATCGATGGTTAGAATAAGGCAGATAGTCAATTATGGATATTTTAAAATTAAAATCACTTAGTTTGGTTGTTCAAAATTGAATCATTTTCGCATTGCTGATGCAATGCATGCAGCTGAAGAACACCGTGTCATGGTGTATCATATAGTTAGTGTTGGTTTCTGCATGTCGTGTACATATGTATGAGAATAGCTGTGAAGATATTGTTAAGAAACCTCTGCTCAGAAACTATAGGTTGAACCAAATATAATATATGTTTCTGCGTGTATTGCTATTACGATTCAAATGTGGTTGTTAAGCCGAGAAGGGTGAGATGTGAGTTGTTTATATGTCTTATATCGTTAAAACCGATAAACGTCTATAATTTCGATGAATTAATATCTGTACTACTCTTATATATCTATGAATTGTTAAAAAGATAAATAAACCGCGACTGCATCTATAGACAACATATATATATATATATATACGTCTTTTGTTACGTCTTGCTATATAATTATTTATATTTCTGTACATGACTATTAATATTTATTGCAAGAAGAATTGACTCTTTAAAGCTATCACGGCTATCTTGAATTGTGCTGTGTTTGTAGAAAAGTAGTTCATGTCATAGATAATCGCCGAAATTCCTATTGAATATCTGTAATTCACTTAGACTTAGTCTTAGCCGCGGTTATAGTCGAACTTGTGTCATATATGAATTGAGTATTCTTCCCCTGTGATATACGTTGTGTCGTGAGAATCACCATCTGCATCACTTATAGTATTATAATTGCTTGTACAACTTGTACAAAAGCAAAAATATCATATGATTTCAAACAGCACTGTGTACAATTTTCTGTTGCGATCTGTTTTTTGACAACAAAATGGGTTTAAACATGAACAGCCACAAAACACATCATTTTGTGTTTTTATCGGTTCCTAAAAGATAAAAAGGCCATCTCAGGTTGCGCGGGAGCTATCTGCCCAATCTAAAAAACTAATTCAACTGCAAAATGCAAATACTTAACGTTGTCAGGTAATCTTCTAAAAGCACCTGATAAGAAAAACCGTTTGCTCAGATGGCAAAATATATGCAGTCTAGGGAAGCCCAAAATAAGAAAATTTGAAACGGCTGTAAGCCAGATGGGACATATCTAAACATGCACCGTGATGCAAATGACGAAAAACGTTTATATCTGCATGTATATTTGGGAAATGAATGAACAAAAAGACTAAACATTCGCTCCAGGATACCTTAATAAAATTAAATAAATGACTTTAGGTTGTTCTAGTCGAAAACAAGGTAAATAAATGAAAAATGAGCGTTTATTACATTACTTAATAACTATTGTTCAATTTCATCTCCTAGTCTGAAGGAAACTATTTGAATTAATACGATTTCCTTGTCCCCCACATTTGTCCTTGTTCCAGTTTTAAAACAATGTCTGGACGAAAATACACAAATTAAGTTGGTCAGGAAGTATTTACGACGACACACGCCACCTCAGGAATTCTGTTTTCCAACAAAACATGCCTTCCTGTTTTGTTTCTATTATTCTCAATTATATATAATCACATCTTGTTTTCCTCCAAACAATATACGGGTAACTGCATGAAGTTCGAAAAACAGCACCCGAAGTAAAAATGTTTTTCCGCCGGCAATAGTCATAACGACGCGTTTTGAGAAATCGTTTAAGAGGTATCGTTTCAATTAAAGGGACATATATGAATAGTTTGTCTTCCATATGGCTGCTGCAGGATAACTGGCGCTATATGGTACATTCTTGACAATCTCCAGAAACCATATTGCTACCAGATTGAAGTGCACGGGAAGCGTGTCGACAAATGAATTATATAAAATACACTTGACATATAAACGCTGAATATATAGCAGGGCCACACAAATATATTATTAAATCGCGAAAATAGAATACGTATAGTTCATGTACCCTTTCATGGCTATAAGTGTAAATTTTACAAAACGTTAATAAAGAAATGTAGTCTTACCGACTTCCAGTATTAACCAACACTGCATGTTTGAAATTCAGTTCATCCCATTTTTGTATTGTTTTGAGTTTGAAAATGAAATTATCGCGGCTGAATTGATTTTATTTTCATGAAAATATATATCTTATTTCGTTTTATTTAAGATATGAAATCGTTTCAAGTGATGCATACACATACTGATGTATGCTTGCCGAAAATATATACGCCTAAATATTGGTAAAAATTAATCCAAGCACCTCAAATTCGCGTATATAGTTCGTGTATAAATACACGTCTCATTAATTAGCTTACCGCACCGCATATATTTATGGCGTAGTGAATATATAAGAACATCTTCTCATCCGTGGCAGATATAGTATCTACTGAATGATATTATATAGCCGGATGAAGTAATTCAATGATAAAGAAGTATATATACATTTACTGACTTGAGTACATGGCCGTCGCGGTATCTTTTTATTCAAATCGTATTTTCTATGAGCACAGCATGAGAACGCAGAAGGGAAGATAAGGGACACCCAAACGAAGCCAAATTGTGGTGTTCCTCCGTTTGCCAATGTGTTCTTTGAGCGCATCGCAGCCGTTTATTGATATATCTAGCAAAGGGGGCTGCCTAAAGTAATTTATGAACATTTCAACACTAACGCAATTTATCAAGGCTTAAGACGGATGATAAACTATAATATACACACTTCTGTTTACATTTTATCTCTACCCGTAGTCGTTTGAAAAGATAGGATGCGTTTTAGGGCAGAGTTGCATTGCAATCTATACATCAGAGGCAGTTTATCTGCTGATTTATGAGCAATCGAATTATGGCTTTTAAACTTCGCGTGGTCTTTTCGACATCTTGGAAAGAATTATACAAAAGATCCAGTATATATCTCTGAGCATACTGCTAACAAACCACAACAAACTATAGAACTATCGAAATTACATGCAAAGTTTTGTACAGTGAATACTAACAAAAATTGTGGGCGTATTTGTAGTTATGGGAGAAAGAAATGAAGTAAACATGCAAGATTTTACTCCATTAATTTTTTGCAAGCATTCTATTATTTCGTTTCGATTGAAGGGGAAGACAATGGGATAACAGGTGCATTTTTCAATCTCCTTCTAATCTATATATAAACGCACACAGCCCAGCAAAGATTGCGTATCTCTTAAAGTATTTTACAGGTCCACATATTGGTATTTCAAAAAGAAAAACTAACGAGCCGATATTAATGATTCATGGCCTGAGATAATTTTACAAAGTAAGCGCGAGTGTAAATTCGGTTGATATATTTTCTAATTCGTTGGAATATTTGTTTGCATGGAAAAGATTAAATTGAGAATTAGGTCCTAGACTTGGATCAATATTTGAGGATAAATATTTAGCACAAAATCATGATGGGCATGTGAAGCATGGTTTAATCGGAAATGCAATTTCTCTTAAATTAGTTCTACGATAATAATAACAATAATAATGCATATATATATTATAAAAAGCAGAAAATTTGCGTTCTGCATCAAGTATATCATGCGCGTATTAAAAGATGGCGCGCTCTCCATGCACGTATTCCAGAACTAACGCTCAATATATATAGCAAGGACGGGCGCGCTCATTGTTTGAGGCTTCCATAGACTTCTGTCAATAGGTTTTGAGGAAACAGTTTTCGCCACCGCAGATCCAAAATTTATACATCGCTGATATCTCGAACGAACGGGCGACAGATAAAGAGTTAAAACACTAGGAAAAAGTGTATTTCAAGCTTTTATGGATCACCATTAATTGCATTTTCGTGAAAGTGGACGCTTCCAATATACGTTTGCGTGTTTATCTGATCAATTCGATAATGCTTTGTCTAACACTGCCTTGCACACTTCACTTTTCTACAGTTCGAACTTATAGTTACGCACGCGATCTGTTGGCGCAGTGATTTTCGCAATCGTGCGCGTTCTTTCAAAAACACAGGCAACTGCAAAAGACAGGGAAGGTCTTTTGTTACCGGTATGTATATTATATTAGGATGGATAGCTCATTCTCTTGAACGACAAGTCTCGTTGTTTTTAAGATAACGCCACGAAAAGATAGGCGGATAAGATCTCCAAGACAAGTTCGTTTCTTATCGCTTCCCGAAGGGAATTACATAGCCCACACAGTTTCAAGCAATAGCGCGTCCACCTGGTCCTGTTTTCACGCCATATGACTAAAACAACGAGAGCCAATCACGAAATGTTTTCTTTTACCTTTTTCATCGCAACACTTGTTTCGCTATGAAACTCAAAAACTAATAATACAATACCTGTGTGTTCAAGGGTCTTAAAGAATCGCACTCAAACGATGTTTTTATATTGATATGCTTGTGGAATTACCTAGAAAGCCATATTCCACACACAACGCCTGTGCGCGTTTATTTTTCACTCTCTGCTTCGCACACAAAATATTTCCCGAAACAATACAATCACGCTATCAATACACGATTCCTAAACCATATGAAATATGGGAATTGCATATAACTTTGTTTTTGCAAATATTATATTTTCATTAGTGCTTGCAAACTCCCGATAAGAAACGCAAACATTAGCTCATCAACATCAGATGGCGGACAAAAATTCGACCGTGATCTTAGGTTTAATTTTACACCAGATCATGAATATATATTAAGTTTATGTTTAAGGAGATTTTCGTCAGGGCATTATATGCATTGAAAGAGTTTTGATTATCTCTTTGTTCTAGTTGGGTTGTAACGCAACTTATACAAATTCGAGTTCTCTTGAATGAAAACGCATTACGTTGGAAATCTGACTGACAGATATTTCTTAAATGAATTGTTTATTTGTTTGGCCAGGGTATCCAATAAGCTGTCAGGGCAAGTGAAGTGCATTCCGTAAACGTCAAATCGACAAAGGAAGCCGCAATTTGATTGGCTCTGCAGACGGCGTGACGGCCAAGGCCAGGTTTCATGGCGCCCAAAACTACTCGAGCAGCGTTCATTTTTTCCTGACAAGTTTTGTAAGTTCAGTCACTCAGAAGACATCACGTTGAGAGGTTCTGACTGAAGTTCTTCACTGCTGTCCTACTAACCGTTTCTCTCTAAACTAACGAAGCCACTTGACTATATCGCATCTCGTTCTTGGCCTAGCAAACGTTGTGGTTCGTTTTATTTATTCTTAAATAATTTTCTTAGTATTTAGCTAGAAAAAAGATAAGTTGACTGACTGTATCGTTCAGCTTGATCGTCGCATTTCAACCACAATATTACTCGACGTTATCGCTTGTCGTATGCATGTTAGATCGTTATGAAAATTTCTGCGCCAAAGTACAGCGCAGATATAACAACGTGTGAAAGTGTGAAATGGTAATGATTATACAAGGAGATTAGAAGCGCGTAGATAAGCCTTAGCTATTAGCTTTGTTAGTTTAATTTCAACGAGTGCATGGCTAGCAGGCGTATTTCCGCCTCTTCTTGGAGTAATACCACACACATACACTAAGTATAGTGCGTGTATAGACGTTATACAAAGCTATTGTTATTCACCAGAATTATTCAAACGGAACAGATTTTCTCTGTTCTATTTTCAGGTCACACGATCAACAAGCAACGGGTTGTCTCGAGGTGTTTCTCAGGGTGGTACACTTCACAGTTGTATATAAAGACTGCTGTCATACAGATTTCAATTCTAGTTCATGGCCAACACGAGCGAAGTAAGAACAACAACAAGTGATACTCAAAGCAGTAATAGCCATTACAAAATGCAACAGACGCTGCCTGGAAGTTGTTCAAGTATAGTTCCGACCCCGTCATCCAACTTAAATCTCATCGAACCCTCTCAACTGCTTCCACCGGATGAGGTCGATGTGTTTTTTCATCACCTAGATAGTTCAGGCAATGCTAGTAACTCATGGCCATATCCTCCAGGCGCTAGAGCGCATCCTTACCGGCCAACAATGTGTCAAATGACTGCCCATGGTCCAACTGCTTTCCCAGATCCACAATCGCAAGTTCCAACTCAGCCTGGTAGTTGTAGTAGAGTATTCCTACCAACCGCTCGTGTTCCTTCAAACCAAGTATGCCGTCCACATCATTTTCACACCCCTATACAGTGGATTGAAAGTAAATCGTCGAACTATGGTTGTTCTGTAGCAACACCGCCTTCCGTCTGGTGTCCGCCATTTCCACAAACGCATCGAAGTTCTGTCGCAGTTTCCTCGCCGGCACAAGTTAGCCAAGGTAGCTCATCATTGGGACATCCTATATTTGCATTCCCACCAACGCCACCGAAAGATTTAATTCAAGACAGTTCTGTCAAATCAATCCTCGAACCTTACGGCTACGCTGATGAGAAATCCTTAATAAAAGCTGGCATGCAATTTTCAGGATCACGACCAGACTCCGCTTACGCACCACAAGGTATTACCTACAATTTATTATACATCTAAGGTATATTTAAGGTTAACACGCTCTTGCAACTTTATTGAAAAGATTCGGCAACTTTAATATAACATATGACACTAACATAATTGAGAATTCCGGTGTGTGTTTAATTCGAGTTTGAGTTCGCCTAACACCTCAACAATCGAACTGTACGGCAAACTGTTAGTCTCGAAATTATGAGCCGTGATTTTTGAATTCACACTTTGAAATCGTCTCATCACGTAAACTGACGTTAGCATGCCGTTTGTTTGCCGTTTGTTTGCATTGCAAAAATTAATTTGTCGAAACGGCTATAGGTTTTGAATTAGTGAATGGGGATGTCACCTAAAGGCCCTTATAGTGTTCACACAAGCGTGCGGAAATTGGATTTCAAGCCACATGTAGCTTGCATTTGTTTGTTTCAAAACGTCTCAATATAATAAGGGCATGGGAGTATAAATATTTGCTCATTTTGCGCCCCAAGAATACAAAAGATACCCAACAGTAATTTCCACGCTTGCTTGATTTTGCCACTAAATTTTTAAAGCCTAAAAGATACATTGATGTGTGTTTACATATTATTATCAACTCGGTAAAGATGTATTTTGTAAGTGTTTATTGCTCAAATATTTTGAATAAAGTTCGCTAATGTATCTTCGGTTAAGATGAGCGTTTTGTTTTTTAGTGGAGGGTCGGGAATGCATCAATTGTGGAGCTACTTCAACTCCGTTGTGGCGTCGAGATGGAAGCGGCCATTACCTCTGCAATGCTTGTGGCCTATATCACAAAATGAATGGCTCAAACAGACCGCTTATTAAACCAAAACGAAGACTTGTATGTATATATATTTATATATATCTTCCACTTGCATGTCCTAGTGTAATACAATGCGCGTTTATTTTCTATGTGCTTGGAAGTGCAAGTGTATAAAGTATGATATCGTTTGGGCGAAGGGGTTGAAAACTTCTATTTTCAATAATTTTTACAACAATTGTTTTCAAACAACGTTATCAACCACTATTCTCATCTCAACTTTCTATCTTAATTTGCGACCATCGGATTCGAATCTTTTATCAGGCTATTTCACTTTATCATGGATTTGGTTTTTTCTGTTTGCATCACGTATCAGCTAGCATAATAGTCTGCAGTGCATACCACCTATAAAAACTTTTTATTGATATCCAACGATGGAACAGAAAATTGTTGCTTGGAAATTCTCCCTATAAGTGTTTTAAATCTCTTTTCAAATGCCTTTATTTTCATTGTAGTAAAAAAAGGAGGCATACTTTTAATATATTCAGAATTACCCTAAAGGTCTACTACTCGATACTATCAATTCTCGAATGGAATTTAATCCAAAAATGTCTCTGAATGTGAATCTCTGTCTCGATCAGTATTAAATTCTACAAAATGTTATTGTAGTGCAGTAAATTTTCATGCAACCATGCTGTAATTTCAAATCAGTTTTTTAGCATAAATTTCTTTAGTTTGAAATCATTTTCAATTTTTCACACTCTTCTTGTTCTTGAATAGTTTATCAACTTAATTTTTTTTGCCAGTTGAAAAAATGTTATGCCTGGCTTGTGGTTCTGTTTTTTCAAAGCGGCAGGATTTAAATGAATATATCGTGCCCGTGAAATATCGATTTGCATGTTGCTGATAAACATGTATTGTACTTGCCAAGTATGAGGAAGAATTAAAAAACTTCTTTATGACATTATTTTGCTAATGGTTGGTGCTTTTTTCTTTGCCAGTCGGCCGCACGCCGTGCGGGAACAAGTTGCGCAAATTGTGGCACGACACAGACAACATTATGGCGACGAAACGCCAACGGTGAACCAGTGTGCAACGCTTGTGGATTATATTGGAAACTGCATGCGGTAAGTCTAGGGTACTTGCACGGATTGAGCCATATTTACCAGCGTGATTTAAAAGTGTCATTGATAGAAAATGTTGCGGTGGACAAAGAAGATGGACATTAATATGCATAGAGGCTGTATAGTATATGGCTGAGCACGCAAATGGCAGAGAAATGATCTTTTCATAAGATGCATGCATTGTTCGAACAAAGAGTCATAAAAATAATGATAAATAATGTGCTTTGGGTTGAGTGTGTGTACTAAACGAGCAACATCAGCTTTGTCGAATATTTAAAGTCCATCAAAGATCACACACCATCTGCCATGATCACTTTAAGAGAGTATAACTCGAGGCGAAATACAAAAGGCTAGCAATTAATCTCAGTAGGGCAGCAATTTTCGTTTAATGACATACTGTTGTTGTTACCACGTAAATAAAACAGTTCCATTCTGACGAACGAGACATTAAACGAAAGAATCTGTATGGGGTCAGACTAAACGGCTCCTCGGATTTCGTATATGACTTAACTGTATAGCTATATTACCCAAGTCTATGAAAGACAATCAGGACCGTGCAAGATTCAGTTAACATAGATATTTTTGATTACGCGTGTAATAATAGACAAGAAATCATACAGCCTAGACAATATTGATATAAAATGATTCCCAAGATAACCAGATACCATGAACAATTAAATTCATGAGCTGCGATACTTCAAATTCTTTCCGAGGAGAGCAATTTAAGATTTACTCACTAATAGGTCATACAAAACGTCGTTTTTCACCCTGAAATTAAATGAAAACGCAGTATAAAGGGATTATATTTTATTGGCCTTGCCCTTGGGATTTTTCATAAGGTAAAAGTGGGAACCGAAGCGCTAAGTCGCCAGACACTATTCAAAGCGATAAAATGCCCACTTATAAAAACGGATATTTTTATTTTTCCTACCCTGTAATTTACATTCAACCCGACTGTAAGATTAGCGTCTATTGAATTTAGCACGAACTCGTTTGGATCTTAATTAAAACATAAATGCTACAATTTACACAATTACGGCACATGATAAAAGTCTCTATGTTCAAAGCAATGTTAGAAAGAACTTCACTCTAAACGATGGAAAAGAATTGTCGTCTGATTTTAGGCACATGTACGTTGTATACCCGCCAACAAAGAACCGGATTATACAAATGTTGTGCTTTTGAATTCTATAAATGGAACTGATGTTCGAGTTCAGTAAAAATTTAATGCACAAATGCAAGTATAATTGTATAAAGGCAAAGAGCTTGGTATAGGATAGTGTTTCAAGTCGTGCATTAAGTCAGGAAAGTACATGCATGCAAGCATTGAAACTCGGTCCAATGTTTCATCCAGCAAATTTTTGAACATTCATGCACAAATTGATTTATATATGATTGTCTATAGTTCCCGAAGTCTTTCATCTATACTATACTATCCTTAGCCCAACTTAAACATAGACATGATAACAACCAATTTAAAGAAATGAAAATCATTTATTTAATACACAATAAAGAAAGAAGCTAACAGACAGTATATATTCATAAACATCAACGGATATTATGAACTTTTCTTTCTTATTCAAATCTAAGATTAATATTCAATGAGTTGTTAATTTTGCCTAGAGTATCACCTTGGAGTGAGCACGTGTTGTTGCTGTGTGTACTCTTGCCATTATATCGTGCAACTGACTATTTTCATTACAATAATATATATTGATATACTTGCCTACATATATAGCTGTTGGCATGTTGTTCACCTGCTTTAAGCTGATGTTACAGCACTTAGATTATACTACTCAAACATTCTCATATCTTGCTTCAGGTAAACCTAGTATATTTCTGAAGTTCAAAAGGTTTTATATAATCCTTCACATTAAGTAGGGCCTATATTTTTGTCACGGGTATTAGTACAAAGATATTTTGCAGCCAGATATACAAGGTATCCTTTTTAGGCACTATACATATACAGTAAATTACTATATGTACAAGATTCCTTGCTCAGGAAAGATAGCTTGAAAGGTTTACAGAAAAAAAATCGGTTAATATATATGTAAGTTTTCCATGGATCCGCTCGGCACGTGTATGCAAGATTTAGCTACAGGATTTAATATGCACATTTATGGAGATATATCAAATTCAAAGCATGATTGTGCCTCTTGGCATGAAGGAGAAAGATAACAGAAAATGTGCATGCAAATGAGGCTTGTAACTCCTTCCGCTTTTCTGAGTTAAACTATGATTCTAAACTGATTCTTTCGACATTTTGCTCATTGGTGATGGTAGAAGGGGGAGTGCGCATCCGTTTGAGTTTGCTATTGAATAATCTCTCACTACATTTCTGAACTGAATTATTTACTATAAGAAAAATCGAACTTTTAGGTATATTATATGTTCATATACGCTGATAACATGTGTTGGAGTAAGATAGTTTCTTTTACAACTAAAATTCTTTTCCGTGTAAAACTCTGCCAATTGATTTTAAAATGTATACTATGTAGATTCCCAGCAGCATATATTGATATCATTAGTTTCCATCTGTTAATTGTTATCAAACTGATGTTGTAAAATGGTGCCACTAAATCTGACAAGTCCACGTATTACATTGTTGCAGGTCAACAGACCGTTATCGATGAAGAAAGATGGAATACAAACAAGAAATAGAAAGGTTTCATCCAAAACGAAAAAGAGCAAGAAACACAGTGATATAAAACAGGAGGATGGAAAACAAGATGGGGGAATAACTATTAGTTCAAATCACTACATCAGCAGTCAAGATTCCATGTTCACATTTCCTGGTTCTTCTGTAATAAGCAGTCAAATGATCCATCCATCCATGAAATCCATTCATCCCCTACATCCGGGTCTCTTTGCGCCTATCGTACCTCAACACTCATCACTTAGTAGCATTGGGTAGAGCCTTCACCTCTTCACCATTACAATTGCTTTCGGGAAAGACAGACATACAGAAACAGTCGAGTGGAGCATGTTTAGGTTGCCGGAATTAAGGTGGACGATTACTCGACCTTCTTTTCGAAAACCCAGGACAATAAGGCGATAGAAAAGAAACGTTCAAGGTAGAATTACGCCAAGTAGGGAAATATGTCCACGTCCTAGATATCATATTTATTGAAAATAGTCAATAACTTTATAAGAAATGTTAACTATAATTGGAATTTGTGTCATATTCTTCAATCTTCATTCAGTAAAAATCGTTCCAATATGAAATAGGTTTCATAGCAAAGATGAACACTACACCCGTAACAATTTAATTCCAATGGGTGGAAATTATCGAGAAAAAACATGAAGAGCATTTTCAAGAAAAGATGATAATAAAAAAGTAAACAGCAAGCAACAATATAAAGTACTGATGCCTGTAGTGCTGAGATTTTATGGGTTTTTGTCGGTTGAAAAAAGTTGCCGCTGAAATGGGAGGTGATCAAGTATATGCAGTCCCTCATCGATAGACACAAAATATACCCATGCAGAAACTCAAAGAGAGCTTGTGTGAATGAATATTAAAGAATTATGTAGAAAATTTATGAGACAGTATATGATGAGGATGTATATTTAATCTTAATGTATAGAGAATAGTATACTAAAGATGTATTATATTACTTTGTTCGAATATTATAAATATGCACATATCAATATATAAAGAAACATAAATAACTTTTGGCTGACATTACATTTACATTGCGTGTTCTGATGCCCTTGTCTTGAGTGGAATGCACTCAGGAGACGTCAAATGAAAAACCGGCTTTGCGTGCGTGGCGCAGTCATATACGTTTGCATGGCTATATTATCAAGTCATAGAATCCAAAAAAAGGAATCCATAAAAAGGAGTTCGCCCACGGCACTAATATAAAAATTACAAATATGTGGTAAATAGAGGAGGAAAATAAAAAAATATGAACAACAACAGCTACATATCTTTAAAGTAAACATACAAACAGACAGACATCTAGAAAGTGCTAATCCTAGCTTGCAAGGGCTAAAACGTCATACTGAATACTTATGACGAAAGTCAATTAAAAAATGTTCGCCCGCATCTGCTTTTCAACAACAAAGCAGAATGAATAAAGATACGAGGAATATACGCAATATACACGCACGAAGGTATAACTATATATAGAAGGAAAAGAAATAATGGGAAACAAAAATCACTGCATTGTTTACAACGATACATGTATGTGCCCTCAAAAGCAAACGTCTGTTTTCGAAGTCCCCATATGAAAAGATATTCACTTTGTATAGTAATGATCGGTTTTGACTTTAATTTTTTTATGCGTGGATTCCGTGCATATACAGCTAACCTCAGGCCGTACGTGGTCAATTTCGTTAACCGAAATGTGTAAAACGTGTGAACAAGAGAAGAACAAACGTGTTATTAAGGCTTTCAATTTACTCAAAAGCCACGATAACAAATCTTGGTTTTATTCATTATTGAAAGACCACTACTACTATGTGAGCAAATGTTGTGGTTTTTACAATATACTTCTGATTATATTGCTTCATACATTTGATACATTCTTCGGGGTAAAAATGACATGGACGTGCATATTGCATGCATGACTCGTGCAAATAAAAAGGATAAAGAAAAATAGTGTAAAAAAAATAGAATCGATTCAAATTAATCCTGATTCGTCTAAAAACATTTGTCAGATGAAACATCTTGATCAACGAGTGAACGTATAAAATTATATATGCAAAGTTATAGTATACATGTATTGTACAAAGTTTTTTTCTATGCATGCATGGATAATGTTTTAAAATACAAATATCACGGGTAAAGAAACAGGAACACTTCAATACAGCACCGTAATAAACTCATTGTTTTTCTGTGTGTATACATCTAAACCCACATTAAAATCCGAATTTAATTAATTACACATTTCTACATTAGAGGCAAAAAAAAACAAGAGAGCTAGACAGCTTATAATTACAAGAAAATCATTTTTTGAAAACAAGAAAATCGGAAATTTATATTAGTTTATGCATGTATTCCGAAACGTTCTTTTACGATAGAATGCATCGACAGAACGGTCAGAAATATATATATTGATTGAAGAAACAAACTTTCGTATATCAATATATACCATCTTCATCAATAGCCATCCCATTTAATAATTATCAAGAAAAATTTATCGATAAGAGGCTAGCTGTTAAGGTATGCGTAAAATTTGGAAAGTTTTTAATTACGAAAACCCTCGACATAATTTAACTGAATGCCCTGAGAATCGTTCGTAGGACATATATATATACATATTTTGGCTAAGTATAATACAGGCGGCCGCGAACTACTGTAAGAAAAGCGATCATTCCGCCACCGCAAGGTTTTACACTTCTTTCGCGAAATCGTTCGGAAACACTCGAAAAATCGAGTCAAGAACAAACAAAACAGTATTAAATGGCTTTTATCGTTGTAATGATAACTATTAAAGCGGAGCATAGAGCATAATGTAGATCATATATATTATTCTTTTGCGCGCATTTCTATATATTTGACGTCTGCATGGGACATAATAATAGTATATATATATATACATGCATATACATGCAGAACGATCGGGACAATCGAGCCCTATAAAGTCACCACTTAGTTAAATTATTTCAGATTTTTCAGACTTGATAATTTAGAATACAAACGTGGTCATGAATAAATGAAAAAGTTAATTGAGGTATTTTCAGCCTCCAAAAACGATATCAATGATTCAATCACCAAGGCCATGATTGGCATGCGTTTTTAGACGATTTCTATCGTCAATTTATCTACAAAGACAATGCAATTGATGTCATGTATAAAATGCGCAAAGATATACGAATATATTTTACGCTCATTCATATATTACCAGACTCCACCGCGTTTATATACAATGGCTTGAAATGGCTAATATGTATATATATGTAATTATATGTAGTAAATTTTTATGTATACACTACATAGGTATATTACATCTACATAATCCTAACGCGAAATATGGCAGAGATAAAACTAAATCCCAATAGCTAAATAAATATTTAAGACGTCTCATGCACGCATTCTGTATAATATGCATGCATGCATGCATCTTAAGATGATTGCAATTAAGCATGTCGTAGGCAATACATTAAAAATTAACAACGTGAAAAAAATCTTTGAAGTCAAAACAAAATGTCTTTTCTGATTTGCCCCCATCAACCGCGCCACAAAGCCTAATTGAAAATCCGAAGAGATAATCTGGATTTATTTGGTATACCCACGTGAAGAAACGAGACCACATGATGTAAAAAAGCGCGCGTGCTATTCAGAGATTGTCCAAAGAAACTTTAATTTAGAAATTAAGATAAGTCTAACAAAAGATGTATTTATACGCACCGTAAACCATATTTTGTGCATTTAGAGCCAAATATTTTATTAGAATAATAAGGGAATCAGTATGTTTAGAGCTGAGATTACATTCATGCATGCTGCTATAGGGATGAGTCGTCATAGTATTATAGTGTCAGGGGAGATTTTGAAGTATATATTCATGCATATAGACTTTATAACAAAACAACTTACAGTAGGGACAGATATCAGACTATATAGAGAAAAAGACGAATCTGCCATAGGCATAGGCTATAATAGCTACAAAAAGACGACACATCCACTTACTTGGCATGACCTTTACACCTCAGGCCTTAGAATCGATTTCAACCTCATTATGTAATAGCTTATGCTAAGTCTAAAATAACTGATTTGCTTTAACGAGCACATGAAAACATAAATACATATATACAATATATAACCTTTATCGATCACGCAATGTATATATAGCTACATCCACCAAGGGTTCTAATCATAGCTCACATATACGAGGAAATGTCTTCGGAAGTTTTCATATTTAGTGCATGTTGGTTTATATCTTATATAATTTATCTTTATCTCACCAAATCGAAATAACCTTCATATACATACGTGTCTGTTTGTACGTAACATAATGTAGATGTTGTATATGTAGCAAGTTGGTAAACTGTTGCCTTATCTTTGCCTGATTTCCTGTGCTTTGATAAGCTAAAGATTGATCTTTATACTGAATATATATTGACTGAAAGGTGTACGTGCGGTATATCGATTCATATATGAACGGGAGGGATGTCTTCAAGCTTTCAAACTTTCTTAGGGTTTTACTTGGGATGATCGTATATGAATGAAGGAACTGTCTAGATATACAGTATACAGCTACTTTTATTAATTCTATATGGAAAATCTCCCGTATTTTTTTGGTAATCGTAAGGCAATATTTTTTATTTTAGATTTTATTAGAATTTTTCTTCTTTCTGACAATTTTGTCCATGCATGCAATTTTGTTTGCATGCACGCAAACTTCCCTCGACAATAAAGCTGTGAACGTTTCGACGAGGAGTGATTATATGAACCGCCGCTGTTATCAGTTGTTGCTTACGGAGAACAAAACACGTACCCAGAACGTATAAAAACTTAATGCTATATTTTTAACACTAATGCATGTGATGCGATATAAATTTAGTTTGGCATGTCATACAACTGATATAAAGCTATAGCTGTTATACATGCCTGATAAGCCCAAAAAAGGCCGTTAACATTCATTCTTTACATTCGCAGATAAGACTATACATGCATGCAAGGGTGTTGACACGGTTGAAAAGAGTTATTTTTAGGTTTTAAAACGGAAATCAAGTATAATCTCGGCAAGAATTTCCATTTCAGAAAACAATGACGGGGGCTGCCAAATACGCAGCTACGTGCATGCATGCATATAGGACATATATAGGACTATTGAGAATAGAGATTTTTTATTTGTAATCGTAATTTTGTATGTAGGCTAAATCTATATATAGGAGTGCCGGTAAATTGCGCGTATATAAATGCAGCCAGGAGCTTTATATTGATATACTGCACACAACGCGAGCAAAACAATTGAAAAATAAGACAAGAAAATGAAAATTACTTTTAGTTGCCCGAAGATGGGCTTACTAATTAACGCACTGATAAGCAAGCCGAATTGAAAAGAAACTAAGAGATTTTATCAGAACGTAATTTGAAATGTTTTGTCAATAAAATGGAGTATTTGAAGAAGGAAATACGAAATAACGTGGTATTTCGTCTTCTAAAACTAAAGTAATTTGTTGTTTTATGAAATCACCTGCTAAAAACGTTTCATGCTGCGAGGAACATAAAACAATAGTTATAGTAAAACCATTAAGGCATTGTACAGAGCCGTTAATTTGACTTAAAATCCAAGATATAATAAGCAACAATTTAGACGAAAAAGCTTTTGAATATTAATAATATAGTTCTATATACTTACACCTTATAAGTTATTCATTGAATACGACATATGTTATTCATTACACGGGCTATAGTATATTTAGAAAGAAGAAATTTCGCAACACAAAGCTGATGTATATAATTTCATATTCATATATTTCTATTGATTTTCGTGTGTGTTTCACAGCTGATCTTTTGAAATGGCGAATATTTCATATAGTCATGGCAATATTGGCTCGGAGAAAATACAGCTCCATATATTTATGTATTCATGCACGTATACTGCGCTTTAATTATACAACAGCTGACGCGCACAAGCTATCAGTAGAAATTTTCGATAGACCAAAAAGCATATATATATGGCTTCCGCACTGCCGGACGTAAATTTAGCCACGCTTCCCGGTGGGGAGAAATTATGACATAATAGCTTAAAGTGAGCAAACCATAGGAAACAGATTT